ATAGCCGTGAGTCGTCTCGAGATGACACGCGGCTTGCTGGCTGCGACGACATCCTCCGCCTGGATTACCGACACGATGAATACATTTCCGTACCCCTACGAGACACGGGATGGATCGTGCGAGTCGGTTGGTTAGCGGTCATCTTATCTCGATCTCTCGATCCGAATTCATCAGTTTGGGGGTGGGGGGTGGACAATGCAGATAATGAAACAAATAAAAAATAAACATTACGACGTAATGCTTTATCCCGCTAAATAGCTGTTCACTCGGTCATCAAACTTGCGGCAGCCATTAAGGGGAGACCGGAGAGTCGGGACCGCTCTCGACAGAGAATGAAAGCACTCAGGCTGCCAAGTTTTGATTGACCATTAAGCCACTGATGAATGTGCCTGTCAGGCGACAGACAATTAAATCAAAAGGGAAACAGAGTCGTTCTGACGGGCCGTGAGCGGCGGAGACGGTGCGGGTGGGACGAGAGAGAGAGAGAGAGGCATCTCAACAAACCACTGGGCCCTTCTCGCAACCACCACCACCACCACTATAACCACCACAACCAGAAACACCACAACCAGAACCACAACCACCACCACAACAACTACATCCACCACAACTACCACCACCACCACCGCGTTTCGCTTACTCGAACTCCCCTCCCCCAAGCCGTGCCTGTCGCCGGGTATGCGAGTATCATTTTCCCTCCTACTGCCTTCTGATGGCGCCTCTTACACCCCCTACTTCCTCCTTATGTACCTCCTACTTCCCTCTGATTCACTCTGCTTCGTCACAGCGATGCATTAAGCTCCCTCCTCCTGCTACGCCTTGCTTCCTTCCCCCACCCCTGCTTCCTTCCCCTACCCCTGCTTCCTTCCCCTACCCTGCTTCCTTCCCCTACCCCTGCTTCCTTCCCCTACCCCTGCTTCCTTCCCCTACCCCTGCTTCCTTCCCCCACCCCTGCTTCCTTCCCCCACCCCTGCTTCCTTCCCCCACCCCTGCTTCCTTCCCCTACCCCTGCTTCCTTCCCCTACCCCTGCTTCCTTCCCCTACCCCTGCTTCCTTCCCCTACCCCTGATTCCTTCCCCTACCCCTGCTTCCTTCCCCTACCCCTGCTTCCTACCCCTACCCCTGATTCCTTCCCCTACCCCTGCTTCCTTCCCCTACCCCTGCTTCCTTCCCCTACCCCTGCTCCCCCTTCGCTTCCTCCTTCACGTTGCCTCCCCTCACGCCGCGTCCTCTGCCACCTTCTCGCGACCTCATCCCTTGCGTTTGCCCCCTCTCGTCCCTCGCCGCGATCTCCACAACCCCACGCTCCACCAAGCCTCCCCGGTCTCTCCCTGCCACCCCTGCGCCTTGTCCATCGAGCCCGCGCTTCCCCGCGTTCCCAATGCTCCCCAGTGGCTCCCGCGAGCTTGCCCCAACGTCGAAGCTCCACGCGCATCCCGACACCCTGCGGCCAAGCTCGCCGGAAGGATCAGTTGAGCAAATCAGCGGATACGGCTACGTTTGCGATCCGCGGCGCGCGCCAGTGAGTAGACCGCTGCGTTAGCCCGTGGCACGTTGTGTCACGGTGTGTCACGGTGTGTCACGGTGTGTCACGGTGTGTCACGGTGTTGCACAGCGTGTCACGGTGTGTCACGGTGTGTCACGGTGTGTCACGGTGTAGCACGGTGTAGCACGGCGTGATACGTTGTGTCACGGTGTGTCACGGCGTGTCACGGTGTGTCACGGCGTGTCACGGTGTGTCACGGCGTGTCACGGTGTGTCACGGTGTGTCACGGTGTGTCACGGTGTGTCACGGTGTAGCACGGTGTAGCACGGCGTGATACGTTGTGTCACGGTGTGTCACGGCGTGTCACGGCGTGTCACGGTGTGTCACGGTGTGTCACGGCGTGTCACGGTGTGTCACGGTGTGTCACGGTGTGTCACGGCGTGTCACGGTGTGTCACGGCGTGTCACGGTGTGTCACGGTGTGTCACGGCGTGTCACGGTGTGTCACGGTGTGTCACGGTGTGTCACGGTATGTCACGGTGTAGCACGGCGTGTCACGGTGTGTCACGGTGTGTCACGGTGTGTCACGGTGTAGCACGGTGTGTCACGGTGTGTCACGGTGTGTCACGGCGTGCCACGGTGTGTCACGGTGTGTCACGGTGTGTCACGGCGTGTCACGGTGTGTCACGGCGTGTCACGGTGTAGCACGGCGTGTCACGGTGTAGCACGGCGTGATACGGTGTAGCACGGTGTGTCACGTTGTAGCACGGTGTGTCACGGTGTAGCACGGTGTGTCACGGTGTGTCACGGTGTGTCACGGTGTAGCACGGCGTGGCTAAGGTGTGTCACGGCGTGTCACGGTGTAGCACGGTGTGTCACGGTGTGTCACGGTGTGTCACGGTGTGTCACGGTGTGTCACGGTGTGTCACGGTGTGTCACGGTGTGACACGGCGTAGCACGGCGTGGCTAAGGTGTGGCACGGTGTGATACGTTGTGGCACGGCGTAGCACGGCGTGGCTAAGGTGTGGCACGGTGTGATACGTTGTGGCACGGCGTGGCTAAGGTGTGGCACGGTGTGATACGTTGTGGCACGGCGTAGCACGGCGTGGCTAAGGTGTGGCACGGTGTGATACGTTGTGGCACGGCGTAGCACGGCGTGGCTAAGGTGTGGCACGGTGTGATACGTTGTGGCACGGCGTAGCACGGCGTGGCTAAGGTGTGGCACGGTGTGATACGTTGTGGCACGGCGTAGCACGGCGTGGCTAAGGTGTGTCACGGCGTGGCTGCGAGCATTTCGTGACAGGTGCCAAAAATCTTCCGCGGGTATCCCAGAGCGGTCGGCGGCGTAACCGCGCGTGCGTGGGTCTGTGTGCTGGTGACACACACACACGCACGCACGTACACACACACGCACGCACACACGTACACACACACGCACGCACACACGTACACACACACGCACGCACACACGTACACACACACGCACGTACACACACGCACGTACGTACACACACACGTACGTACACACACACGCACGTACACACGTACACACACACACGCACGTACACACACGCACACACGCACGCACGTACACACACGCACGCACGTACACACACACGCGGTGGTATAGTGGTTATCGCGCTGCGACTCGAGTTCTATTCCCGCTCACCGGCCAACACCAACACCCGTGCCGAATATTTGCACCGGTCCTGGGCCTCCTGCACCTAGATCGACTCAGCATGAAAACTAGTACTTGGTGCGATGTGTTAAAACATCGGCACTATGGAGACAAAGGCGGCCGAGCGGACGTGCGTGGTGTTGGCCACCCACCCCCTCGTCCGCACTAATCGCCCTTGCCCTAAAAGTCTGTTAGGGCTATTCGGGGAAGAGAGGGGGCGGAATCTTTGACTTTGTTGTTTGTGTGCCGGGTGACACACAAAGACAGAGACAAAGACACAGATCACCCGTATTGCCTTAAAATACTGTTGGGGCAAGTGCTGTTAGCGAGTAGCACCGATGAAGGCCGGAACGGCACACGAGGTGGGTGATTGGGTGGGTGGTTGGTCAGCACCGAACCTGCCCGGCCGCCTTTATCACCCTCGGTGGCACCACACACACACACACACATCCATACGCGTGTTTATTATTTTCGTTTTATTCTAACGCAGCAGACGCTGCAGTAACAGCGGTAGCGGTGGAGAGCGTGGCTGATTTATTGATGTTTATCCGCAATGAATAGATCAAAGTTCCTAGCATGACGGACAATCAATCACACGTCAAATCGAGGATGGCAATTCGTCTGCGAAAACTGCACCAGACGGAGGCTCTTTGCTCGGATATACAGTACTGAATATATATTTATATATAATGTGTGTGTGTCCGTGTCCGCGTAGTATTTTTTTTTGCGTGCGTTTTCTTTAGTTACGTCGGTAATAAAAAAAAAGAAGAGATCGAGCGAATTGTAACCGAAAGGGGAAAGAAATAAAATACAAATAAAAAAAACCTAGAAAACAATGCAATGAACTCAGATTTTTAGCACGGTTGGATCGCCGCAACTCCGATTAGCACGGTTGGCTGCGTACGGTGCGAAAGAAGTCCAACATGCATGATATATATCTATAAACAATCTAAAAGGCCATCACGCTGACTGTCCGTCGCCTTTCCCGGAGCTGTGTCGTGGTAAAAAACTAAAACTAAAACGAAACTATTTTTAAAATATTGCTTTACCAGGCAAGGCCCCACTGAGCTCTATATCGTGTTAGTGCAGAAGCGACCAGGCTTTCACAAATGATAGCTCAACTTGGTAGCTTATCGCGTGGAAATGTATTGCAGACAAATACTCTAAAAATCGCGTTTTTTTTTACATGTGGATGGAAACATCGGAGGACCCCGAGAAACATCCACGCGACCACGGGAAGAGAGACACCGCAAAACTCCAAATACACAGCAGCAGGCGTCAGGGTCGAGATAGAACCCACGACCTCCTGCATATCAGGCGAGGTAGTTAACATATCCTAGCCACCTTTATGCCGTGACACAATATGACAGCAAATGGAAAACTCAACAACTGCGACACTGCTCCCCACTGTGTTTTCCTTCCACCCCCCCCCCTCCTTAATTCGCATTCATTAACTCATCAAAGCATTTTCAACTCTCACAAAGTGGGCAAAACAGGTTACACATCCCATACTTTACCCCCCCCCCCCCTCGGAGCGAGACACCCATGATTCTCGCCGCGCGGGTGCTGTGTCCGCGTCTGTCTCACATCATAGGCAACGCACAACAGCTCACATGACAGACAGCGTGGAACGCATTACACACACACACGTGTATGCGCGCGTGTGTGTGTGTGTGCGTGCTGCCCACCACTACAGAGAAATACAGAGACACGGAGGGGCGGGCGGGGATCTGTGAGACAGTGGGGATAGAGAGACAGATGGCAGGGACAGGATGACAAGTCACGGAGAGACAAAGACGGATGGGGCACAGAACATCCAAGCCACCGTTTTGCTTACCGGACGCACGCCTCGGCGCTTGCTGCTTCCGTCGCGGCATGCTGATGAGGACGGCGCTGGCGAAGTGCGCCGGGTTCCGCGTTGATACGGAGCGCGGTTCGGCGCGCGGATCGCTCAATGGCGTCTTTAGCCAGCGACTGCCTCTCTCTCTCGTCTCGGGATCCCACCTCCCTCTCCCGCCCTCTCCCCCTCACTCGACTCTCTCCCTCCTGCCCGAGTCCTCCCCACCTCCTCGCTCCAGCGCCTCCCTCCCTCCTTCTCTCCTTCCCTCCCTCCCTCCACTCCTCTCTCCTTCCCTCCCTCACTCGCAACCCGCCTCCCCGCTTCTCCGCTCGCCACTTCCCGCCTCCTCTCCACTCCCAGTGACCACAACGCGCGCTCTCTCCTCCTTGATTTGATTCCCACCTCTCCCCAACCACCACCCACCACCCCCAGCACGATCCCACAGACCTCCGTTGCTCTTCGGCCACTCAAAGTCGCCAGTCCCCGGGCAGCCAGAACCCCCCACGCACACACGATGGCGCGATGTGCTCTCCACGCACGTGGTTTCGATGTTGATGACGACGACGATGTTGTTGTTGGTGGTGGTGGTGGTGGTGGCAGTGATGATGCGGATGATGACTGTGGCGGTTGATGGCGAGGCGTGGTCCCCGCTTCGGAAGTCGCAGCGTGTCGCCTCGGAAAAGGAAGGTTCGTGTCTCTGTTGCGTGTCTCTCGATCAATCTTAACTCATCCTCTCTCTCTCTCCCCTTTTCTCTGCACATTCGCTGCCCGCTCTCCTCTATTCACTGCGAGCGGTGTTCGCGGCGCGCGTATTCCGGGCTCTCTGATGCCCCCGTCACACACCCCCCCCCACACCTTCCCCGTCCCAACGAGGAGACGGTGCACGAGGCACCGCCGCTGCGAGGGCGACCCAAGGAGCGCCTTTGACGCGAGGGCGAACACGGAAAAGAGAGCGATAGAGAGTGAGAGTCAAGTCCCGTGCGTGTCCGCCTGTTTGTTCCGCCTGTTGTTCCGTCCGTCTGGCTGTCTGTCTGTTCGCGTGGCTGTCCGTGCGACCGCCCGCTCGCCCGCTCGCCCGCCCGCGTCCGTTGAGTGGCCGGCGCGCGAACTCACGGATGTGAGAATGTTGTAGTGGGCAGATAGCGGGGAGGAGGAGGAGGGGGAGGAGTAGGAGGAGAGGGATGGATGTGGGACGGGGTGGGTGGGTAGGGGATGTTGAGGGGCGGGGGTTGTGAGAGAGAGAGACAGACAGAGGGAGGGGGGAAGAGTGATTGAGGGTGGTGCGGTTGAGGGCTCTGTGTCTTTGATGAGCATGTGGGTGGGTGGAGGGGTGGGTGGGTGGGTGGAGGGGTGGGTAAGAGGTTGTTTGGGTGGTTGGGTATACGGGTGGATGGGGTGTGTGGGTGAGTGGGTGGATGGATGGATAGGTAGGTGGGATGGGTCGGTATACGGTTCTGTGGGTGGTAGGGTGAGTGGTGAGTGAATGGGGTGGATGGGTATGTGTGTATGAGAGTATGCGGGTGGGTTCCTGAGTGGGTGGATGATTGAATGGGTGGCTGGGTAGGTGGATGCGTTGGTGGGCGGGCGGGCGGCGGTTGGTAGGGTCGGGTGGCTGGACACGTGGGTGAGTGGTTCGGTAAAGGGATGAGCGCATCATCGATGACACGGCGCTCGATCGGTTCGTGCGCCGTGAATGGATGTCCGCCCTCGGAGTTGCGCAATGCTTCCTTCAGAACCCCCCTACCCCCACCCCCACCCCACCCCCACCTCCCAACTCTGATCGTCCCTCCCCCCACTCAACCTCACTTTCCTCCCTCCCCTTCACCTCGCTCTCCAGATAAGCGAGAGGCGACACAGACACGAGGAGAGCGCATTCACCGCTCCCGCCAACTCACCCCCACCCCCCATTAATTATCCTCCTCCCCCCTCTCCCCCCACCCTCCTCCTCCTCTCTTTCCCCAGCCTCCTCTCACCAACTAACCTCCCCGCACCTCCCCTCGTCCCCCCCCCCCTCACTCACTGCCCCCCCATCTCCTCCAACTCTCCGCCTGTATCGTGGCGCGTGTCTGCGTAACCTGTCGCGTCACGGGCGATTTATGAACAGAATTACCCCGTTAGTCAATTTAAACATTAATCTTTTTTTTCGAATCTGAAAAATAACAAAATAACTCTCACCGTGCAATTTGTTGTTGTTGTTGTGGTAAATTAAATAATTCATTAATTTATAGTAACCATTCAGGCAAGGCGACTTGTGCATAGGGATGGAGTGACGGAATCGGGCAGCGGCCGCTGAGGGTGGATTTCCACTCCAATAGAGACGGTCGTGAGAGACGGCGCACGGCTCGGCTGAGGCTTTCATCCAGCAGTGGATAGATGGCTGCTGCTGTTGCTGATGCTGCTGATGCTGCTGCTGCTGCTGATGATATATTTACGCATAAGAGGCGAAATTCTCTATTCGTAATTTATTTCTCCATAAATCACCAACAGCTGGCAATCCAACGTCATCGTCATCAACGGCCGTGGTCAATCCACAGCTGGATGAAGGCGTTCCCAAAGCCGTCAACGCTACCACTGCCGTGCAATAATCCACCGAGCAGAATTTGTGTCTCCATCTCCGCGAAGGCCGATCCCTCTATTGTTGTGCCTTTGTCTCGTGCAGTTCGCTGTATTATTGTGTGGTGTTGTGTCCCTGTGCTGTGGTCGTATTGTTGTATTTTGTGTATTGTTGTGTGTTTTGCGGTTGTATTATGCTATGGTCTATTGTTGTGTATTGTTTTGTGTTGTGGTTGTATTATTACGTGTTGTGCATTGTAGTGCATTGTGGTGCGTTGTTCATAGGTGCTGCTCGCTAACAGCTCTTGCCCCCACGGTCTGTTAAGGCTATACGGGGGATCTGAGTCTTTATAGTTTTGTGGTTGTATGGTACGTTGTTGTGTGTATTACTGCATGTCATAGTTATTGTGCTTGTGTGTTGTTGTTATTGTTGTTGTTGTGGTGGTGGATATGTACGACCCCGTTGAACATTGCCGGACTCGTCGCTGGATGAGGGCCTCCCGACGCCATATCGGTCATGTTGGGGGTGTTTTAACCATACTTCACCAGCGTGGTCGAGTGCTAGTTCGTGAAGGCACTGCGTGAGGAACAGAAACGATTGAGTTATCGATCATCACTGGCCGGGAATCGAACCCCGGAACGTCGGGTTGGTAGCGCAGGGCGCTGACCACTGCACCACCGTTTCCCACCAATGTGGCACCACGATCTGTCCACTAAAACAACAACAACAACAACTACACTTTTGTAATGGAAAATGTTGCTTCTTCTCGAATAATTTTAAATATTGTCTTGAACATTTCGCCGACCGTGTGTGGTGTGTGTGTGGTGTGTGTCGTGTGTGTGTGTGTGGTGTGTGTGTGTGGTGTGTGGTGTGTGTGTCTATGTGTGTGTTTGGTGTGTGTGTGTGTGTGTGGTGTGTGTGTGTGGTGTGTGTGTGTGGTGTGTGTGTGTGTGATGCATGCGAGCCACACACTGAATTCTGCGAGAGTATAGCCACATCAAAAGTAGAATTGATTCTAATTTTCATTACTATCGGGGGGGACATTCACAAACTAATACAGGTTGCATTATTAAAGACACAGATAGAAGCGCAGCCCTGCGATGCCTTGCTTACCGCCCCTGCCAGCGGAATAGACGGTTCTAGAGATAGGAGGTGTTTGGGTCGACTAGTCCACACTGGCCCAGAGGTGGTGGAAGGAAGTGGTGATAGTTACCCACACTTCACCCCACCACCACCACACGCATCCTGCCGATCACAGACTTAACCGCAGTGTAACATGAGCTTCGCTCCAGGACACTCGCCGTCGCTGGTGTTGGGTCCGCCGGATTCGTTGCGCAGTGCGCTAAGCATTGCGCCACCGCTCGACCCCACGACACCAGCACACGCATCTTAGTCATCGTCACCACCACCACCATCGTCATCGTGTGCTGACATCTCTGTTGACGGTGTAACGGAAGAAAAGAAACACACATCCGCATTCTATTGATAATAGAGATATCTTTTGGGTTAGATCGCGGACGAGTCTACCCGCTCAATAGGACAACGTCTGTTGACGTCGCCGAATAGTGGTGCTCAGTCGATGGATGTCCCACGGAGAGGTGATGGGATAACGGGCTGGGTCAACCCCCCACGCCAACAACGAGGATTTGAACTCTCAGCGGTCCCATCGCGAGCCACTCGCTCTACAGAAATAGCGGCCAACTATCACCAACGCCCCCCCCCCCTCCACCACAACAGCCCCCCCCCTCCACCCGTCCCTTTTAATTATTAATTTAGTTCCTCTTCGTCTGGGGTCTACCACAGACCACGTGACGGTGTTCTCATCCTCGTGTCGGTCACGGTTTGGACAGCGCCTCTGCTGCTGCACCTTAAAATCAGTCGCGGTCGTAGCGCGAAATTAATTGCGATGTTTAGCAATGTTTCTTAATTAAGTTTTGTGTGTGTGCGTGTGTGTGCGTGTGTGCGCGCGTGCGTGCGTGTGTGGGGAGCGGTAGTGTCAACATCGCCACTGGAGAGACAAAGGCGGCTGAGCGTGGTGATGGCCACCCACCCCTTCGTGTGCATTGCCGGCCTTCATAGATGCTCGCTAACAGCACTTGTCCTAATAGTCTGTGGAGGCTATATGGGGGGGGGGGGGGGGGGGGGGGGGGGGGATCTGTTTTTGTCCTTTAGAGCTGCGCTACAAACTCGGCGACCCGAGTTCGACTCCCGCTCACGGCCACCAACACGAGTGACGATTATCTCAACTGGTCTTCCGCTTCCCCTAGATTGACTCAGCCTCAAATGAGTACCTTGTTCGATTTATAAACCTCGCCAATGGAGAGACAAAGGCGGCCTGGCGTGGTGCTGGCCACCCAACTCTTCGTGTGGCGTGCCAGCGTTCATAGGTGTTACTCGCTAACAGCACTTGCCCCAACAGTCTGTTAAGGCAAAACGGTGGATCTTTGTTTAAGTTTCGTAATATTAATAAGCGGTCCAATCGCTGTAGTGTAGTGCGTCATATGGAAGCAATTATTTAACCAACCAATTAACTGTATTATCAATTGATCTATTAATGAATCGATGAATTTATCAATTCAACATGGCGCCAGTTACACTCCAGCAAGCCGGGGCCACTTACGAATCAG